AAAAGGTAGAGCAGAACGACGGCCGCACCCGCAGTAGCCCATGGGTAGATGAAGGGATGAGCTTGGCCTGAGTTGATGAGGGAGAAGTAGACTTCGTCGTAGTAGAGAGTCACCTCGCGCGGTGATCTGAGGCCTGGAGGAAGCATGTTGAGGCGGATGGAATGATGTTACCGTCCAGTATCATAATCCTCGTGTGGAAGCAGATCGAGGATATAGGTGCTCGATTGAGTAAGCGATGCGATGTCCTCCAGGCATTTGCCACCATCGGCCAAGCGAAGACTCGCCACGTAGCTTGCGTGCCTACCGTGTGTAGCGAAGAGAAAAGTATGGAGTACACATCATGCAAACAAAACCAAAACAGGAACACGATTTGAGCGCGTCATTGGTCAGTCTTGCTTCGGGGACTCCCGATGCGGAAGCAGTCCGCTGTGTTGCATATGAGAAGGCTGACGCCAACTTCGCTCGTCCGCTATTGTCCTCATGCGTATGACCGTCGCTCTCTGCAGGAAGTCTCCTTACAAGCGCGACTGCGGCAACACCACTGTGGAAAACTCGATCAGGAGATGCTACACAGAGCCTGCAACGTGGCGGATTCGCAACACCTCCCCAGGCAATGGACGCCAGGAAGACCCCCAGTACATGTACATGGCCAGTGGTAGACATCGAGACAGAGGCAGAGAGAGTCCTTTCCCAACTATGACCGGCGGCGACTCCGTCTAAAAGCGCCGCGAATGGGGCCACTACCACATCTGCTGCATATCCGAAGTGATGATAATGATGGTGAACGTATCTAGCTCGCGGCGGACAAAGAGAGCACAAGCAGGAGGGATTATTTGACTGCAGATGCTGGGATTCGAACCCACTTTTCCACGGGTCCGCAGATAAGTAACCACAGCGTCGCGTGCTGACCACTGCACTACATCTGCCAGCAACGACCGTTCTCGCAGCGATATCATGAAGTGATGTTGACCTCACCTAAGGATCGCCCGTAGGCAGCGACAAGCTTGACGATCGCATCTGTGGGCTAGCGTGTGCCTTCCGAGAACGGAGATCTGCAGAACGCTTTGCTTACGGGGCCGCAAGTGGTCTAAGCAAGCGGCTTTACTCACCAATTCTCCAAGCGTTGACTCACATACCTTATTATCTTGACTCATAACAACGTGATTGATCTTACAACGCAAGCGCGCAGACCGCTGCAACCAGCGAGAGCAATGACGCCGACGTCTTCGCCGCAGCACCGGTGTACGGCACAGGAGTCGGCCCCGATCCATTACCGCCGGCGTAGGTCCCGTTCGCACCGCCGTTCCCACCCAGCGTGCTGCCACCAGAAGCTACCAGCGTCCAGTTCCCGCCCGCCACATTCTTCGCCATGCCGCTCACGAGGGGCACCATTGTCCCGTTAGTGCTTCTCAAGCTTCCGCTGACCCCGGACAACATGACCGTTCCAGTCGTGCCGGGTGGTGTCTGGAAGCTATACGCTGTCGATCCGTTCCCGCTGCTGTACGTAGCGCTGAATGTGCCAATAGCGGTCGTGAAGCCAGCTTCCACGCTCGTCAAATTGCCAGGCTGCGGCTGCACGAGCCAAGTACTGCTGTTGAGCACGTGGAGGCCAGCGGCGTAGTTGGTGAGTGCCAGCAACGGGCCGGTGGACCAGCCGTGGGCGTGCGAGATGCGGGCATCATCGGCGTAGGCTGGGTAGTGAAGGGCGCCGGAGACGTCGTAGCCCTCGTTGAAGGTTGAGTTGGTCATGCGAGGGTCGTCCTGGGGAGACGCATGTTAGTATTCATTGCTCATGATATGCGGCTTTTAGAGATTACGCACCAGCATGAAGTCACCCCACATATATTCCATAAGCGCATTCGCATAGTCGGGCTGACCGGCGATATAGTGGGCCTGAAGCTCAAAGCCGGAGATGAACGGTGAGACGGTCGTGCCTGCTTCCGGCGCCGGCGCACCGTAGGGACCCCATCGAGCATGCAGCGCGCTGGAGATCGTGGCAGCACGCGTACTGTTCGCTACACCCGAGATGATTGCCCACGAGTTGCCGTCCTGCGGATGCAGCGTCGTGGTCTGGTTATCCGTGTACAACCCGGCCGACGCGTCCCAGAGCAGCTCATTGGCAGCCGAGGTGATATTGTCGTAGTAAGACTGCCATCTCGCGTTCTGCGACGTATCTCCCACGGCGTAAGCGAGACCCATGGCCCTGGTGAGGGTGTAGGCGAGGATGGAGTTGGCTTCGATATTGTGAGCGCCCATGCCCACGCGAAGCCAGTCAGCGGTGGCATTGTCGGCCACGAACGCCAGACCGGTCGAGTCCACGGACGTGAGGCTGTAGTTGAGGCCGAAGGTGAAACGGTACCAGTTCTGTTGGAGAAACTCAAGGTCGCCACTGTATACGTAGTAGTTGTTGAGGGCTAGGAGGTTGTACCTGCGCACGGTTAGTACTCCTTGACAGCGAGATGACGAACGAAGATCAAGTTGGGAAGGGACTTGTGGCCGAATTTGTCTGCACCAAGCCTGGAAGGAGCGCAGCGAGCGAACTTACATATGATAGGTATAGCTGTACACCTGATTGAGCCCCTGGAAGAATTGCCCGGCTGGCTGACCAGGATGGAGAGTATCAGCAGCATACCGCAGCTGTCCAGTGGTAGCATTCTGCTCAGCAAACAGCTGCGCAACAGAGAGCTGCAATGTATACTGGTCATTTGTGGAGAGGAAGACGCCCGGCAACGAGATGCTAAAATCTCCCGGCCAGATCAGCTTATCCCGTTTGGCTCCGTCAACCAGCGCCGACGTCCCGTTCGTCAGCGTCGAGTTCGAATACCAGAAGGTAGGGATGCTTGAGTCGTTGGCCAACAAATCGACCAAGGAGTTGCCGGAGGTGGACGGGATGGTGCACAGCTGGTCGGTGTAGGCTGCAGCGTACCAAACCCGGTTGAGCTGCTCGTTGTCGCAGTGGAAGTACCCAGTATAATCCCGCATGGCATCGTCGGCGTAGTGTGGCATAGCGGTGAAGTTGGTCGTCACTGAGCTCAGCGCCACGGATCCCGAACTGTTGTGGTGGAGACTTAGATATCGGAAGCCGCCACGCTGGTGGGCGTTGTCGACGCTGTAGTTTCCGGGACTGCTGACTGGGTACCAGAGTATCTCATCTAGACCAACGTTCTGCGTGGCATCGCTGCCGTCCGGCGCGATCCAGAAGCTCGACTCGGTGAAGGCGATGCCGATGAAATTGTCCGAGCGATTCACAGCGCCGACGGTGAATGAAACGAGGCCGCCGATGTTGACACCGTAGTCGTAGGTGGTCGCAGACTCGCCAGTCAGTACGGACTGGCCGCTGCCGCTCGTCGTGAGCCCGCTAGGGTTGGTGACGGAGCCATTGGCGCGGTGCACGCTGACCGGAGTCAACACGCGCTGGGATGGAGCCAATATGTACTCGGAGTATGGTATGGCTGATGCCAGCGGGAGAAAGGACGTAGCCGCGAGGGCCCCCGTGAGGAACGAGAGCATGGCCATGGTGCGAAGGAGAGGATGTGCAACTTACCGTGGGTATAGGCGGGCATGGGCAATAAGTACAGCAAGATCTCCTCTCGCCAAGCTTGAGCTAGTAAAGGCATGTTGCGGTACCTGAGCAAGCTGCCGTAGTAATGCCTGCTCGGGAGGAGGCATCCACGCCGTTCCCTCTGCGGGGAACCATGCCTGTCTCCATGCTGCTGCGGAGAGGAGGTCTGCTGGGCGAAGACGTGAACATGAAGCTTTCGAGTGACGTCAGAAATGACTCGGCAGTCGTGGTAAAGACGACCGAAGGGCCTTTCGGGGCAATACAGCCCGAGTCGTACAGATTTCAACAGTCGAAGGCCGCTTGTTTGTCGACTTGATGGTATCTAGGTAAGTTTCGAGAAGTCGCCACGAAAACAACAAGTGGCAAAGGCGTCCATGTTCCCGACTCAAAGCCTGCGAACGCGTGCCCCTACGGTAACCCTTCGGTCTGTCTGTCGCCGAGACCCTCAGCATGGCCATATCATTGCATACGTGCAGGCTGGAGGAACGTCAGAAGACTGGAGCCTGCTGTGTATTCACTCTGATGCTACACAGCCCTCCTAACAGCAGCCAGGCTCAGCGTAGACGCGTGAGACTTCAAGCATACCGGCAATCAATCGCCCTGCCCATAGCGATCTACCGAGCCGCGTGCATGCATGCGTGCTCAATGCTCCTTACGCAGTAGAGCCACCCCGAAAACACCTCGCTGGTATGCAATAGTATTCAATCGACACCCGCCGTCCACCTTCGGCCCGCAATGAGCCGATCCAAGCTCGACGATAAAGAAGAAGTCTAATACCCGTTCACGCCGGGCTGCCCGCCATACTCTCCGACCCTGCTGTGCTGAGCCATCGTAGCGTGATGTTGTTGCGCCAGGTCAGCGCTCGGGTACGCCACGGCGGGCTTCGTGTCCGCGGCTGCTGAGAAGGAGGTAGATGCCGGGGTAGGGTACGCCGACACGCCTGATGGCGGCGTTGCCGCGAGGTGACGACCGGGTGCCAAGTTGGTACCGGCATGGCCGTTCGGGATACCATTTGCCATCTGGTGCTGCGGTTCGATCTTGGTGGCGCCGGCGGAAGTGAGGGCAGCATCGTCCACATCCGTCGTGTCACGAGGTACCTCCGCCTTCGCGCGGTATGAGTCGTCAGACTTCCTCCGCGACGCAGGCGATACCTTGAGCTTGACAACGAAACTCTTGGGCTCATCCTCAATCTCGTCGTCTACCTCGGCTTCGCTCGGCTCTTCATCCGGCTCATCAGCATCCGGCACCGGCTCGTCCTCAACGTCGTTGCGATCGCTATCCCAGTCATCTTCTCCACTAGGTGCAGCATCGTCCTCCGCGCTCATGTCGTCGATGTCGTTATACCCGTCAATGTGCTTCCTCTTGCGCGGGTTGGTCGCACCACTGACAGCTGGCTTACCGGCAGACCGCGTAGCTCGGCCAAGTGTAGTGGGAGGCTCAGAGCCCCCCTCTTCACCGCTAGAACCCATCGCCAGCTCATCCGTACCATCGACACCAAGACTGTTCCGCAATAAGCTCTCGCCGTACTGACCTGTCCTTGGCTGCCGGCTCTGTCGTCCACTCAGTGTATAAGTCGGACCGTCTGACAGCGGTGTGCCGCGTGTGCTTTGTCGACCTGACCGGCGGGTCGAGGTAGCATCCGAGTCGAACGCACCATCGTCGTCATCCTCGTAGTTATACCGTGCCCGCTTGCCGCGAGTACGTCCTTCATACATGGAGAAGCCGGGTTCCGGGCGGGTGAAGGCGGCGCGTTTGATCTGGCGCTGTTCGCGGCGTAGCCGTTTCTACCAACCATGTCAGTGAGACTTCTCGAGAAGCTATGCTTTGGAGCATAGGGTGTGCTCACAGTTTCCGAGGCTTCGAACGTCGGCACAGCGGCCGTCATTTTGATTGCCAGCCTACGTGCCGCCTGGGTGCCATCAACCTCCTCCAACTTTTTGACCAATGTCTGAAGCTCTGGGACATTACCCGCAACGTTATACCAATGCGCGTTCTTGGTGTACCTGCTGCCCTCTCGGTAGACCCTGAAGTGGGTGTCCTCCAGCCCTTGCACCAGAAAGTACCGCCTTTTGTCACCATCCACACCCCAAGGCTGCACAGACAAAGGCTGGTTCTCGTCGTCGTTGTGGCGAACCTGCTTGTACTTTTCCTTGATCATCGCGGAGACAGCTTCGGAGGTTGTGAGGGACCAGTGGATGAGGGTGCGGAGGAGATTGAGCTGAGCATCGCGTTAGCCAGGCTTGTTTGGCAAAGACAGTGTTGCAAGACATACGCGCTCGCTCGGCGACATCATGTTGAAGTCCCTCGGGCCGTGTAGAGGGTTGATACCGTTCCAGCCGTGCGGCCATTGGGCCTTCTGAGACA